GTAACATATTTTTAAAACTTTGAACAGTATCTACTTTAAGCATAGTTATAAATAGGGGTGTAAATCACATCCATCATGGCGATTCGATTCAGTATCGATTTCCTGACCCAACGATTCGATTATTTTCCATACTCAAGAATACACCACGATACGATTCGATTAAGTGGTTCTTTTTTCTTTTTTTTTTTAACACCTTACAGGCTAGACAAAGTTTCAAATTTGACATAAATCAATGAAAGCTGTAATGTCGTGATGCATATGTTTTTTGAGAAACAACAGCAAATAACAGAAGTAGAAAAGTTGTACTCCACCTATTCCTATGAAAACCTCATTCACTGAAAAATAATAATACCCCTGCGTTATAGATTCTGAAAGGCCTTGCATCAAAAAATTCTGCACAAAATCAGTGCAATGAGTGCAATGCAATACCTCAGCTCCAGACGTCACCGCCCCCTCCACAGACGCTCCGCTGCACCTCTCCTAAATTGTAGCTGACTGCAGACAGGAGGCCAGCTTGTTTTGTTTTTATGACCGAAATTGCGGAAAACAACTCGTGAAGTTTGACCAGCTAGGGTCACGCTGGGACCCTTTTTCCGCCTGGATCTCGGCTCTTTTTGGCCCTCATGTCCCTCCGTCGTCGGACTAAACTCGCCCCCACTTCCTCACCGCCTCGGCCGTATCTAGACCCACAGTGTGTAGCGCAGACCACGCTTCAATATTGAGCATACATCAAAAATGTCTGTGTCAAGCTCACTGCGACACATTGCTGTAAGAGTATAACCAGGAAGCGAGGTAGGAGGGCAAAATAGGTTTAGCGCCACCGCAGCACGGGAAGGAGAATTACGTCCAGGAGCAAATGGATAAAAATAGACCGGAGAAAAAAAAAAAACATGAATCGATAACTTCTAAGCATTTATAAATTCTACAATTTTTTGTTTATATCACAAGTCAGTTAAATAGTCCACTACTTCATCAAAGTCTGTAATAGGACCCAAACTGTCAGCTTCAGATAAGAGGACAATGGTCTACATGAAGCACACAGGCTACAGCATGCTGGAACTCCAGTGTCTATTTTAAAGCCAGTTTTACATCAGATGAGGGTTTTCTGGTCATCCAAGTGAAAGACCAAGCTGCTGGGAGGCTTTTAAACCTGTTAAGCACGGTAATGACCGCATCATGCTGTGAGCTGCTTTACTGCTATTCGGTCCAGGTGCGTTAGACACAGTGCGATGAAGTATTGAAAGTAGATTAACTCCAAATTATTCAGCCTATTCTCAAACCAACACCTGGATGATTGGAACTCAGGCCCTGTGGGTTTAAAGTCTGTCACTGGAAACACGCTGGTGTAAAAAACCCACAGAGAATGATGTCAGATGCCTGTAAACAGCTAAGAAGCTCAAAGTTTTTGTATGACTTGCTAAGTGACATTTAACTTTTAGTGGGCATGGGGGTATGGATCCAATTGAGCCTTTTTATGGTTTTAATTATATGCAGATAAATTTACTATGTGACTATTTCAATAAACGTTAAAATATCCTAACTTATTACAATCTTTGTCTTTGATATAGAAGATTTCATTTTTACTCATCCCTCTTCTTTTATTATCTGCAGTCCAGCAGCCAGACCCCAATCTGCCCAAAGCTGAGGGGGCTGAGATGGTGGCCATGCGGGGCGAGCAGCTGGGCGTGGTGACCAACTGGCCCCCGTCTCTAGAGGCGGCGCTGCAGAGGTGGGGCACCATCTCTCCAAAGGCGCCCTGTTTGACCACCATGGACACCAACGGCAAGCCGCTCTACTCGCTCACCTACGGTAGGGAGGCTCCCTAAAATAAATATTAGTGTTATTTTCTCTTTAGCATTTTCATAGAGTTTGGCGGAAATATCTCCTATCCCACATGATCCTGCATCATCTGACTCATAAAACTCTGACTGACTGTCCCCAGTTTGTCATGTAGAGAAATAAATGCTAAAAACTCTTCAGCTTGGAGCTGCAAGCTTCTTCCAGCTTGAAAGCACATGCAGCTTCTCCCCAAAGCTGATTAAATGAAGCACCAAACAATGTTTAGCACCCGCTGTGTGAGCATAATTCCCCTAATGGCAGCCAGGCAGAGCTCTAAGCACATTAGCAACCTGTGAGAAATATGTTTTAAAGAGAACTGCATGGGTACAGAAGGAGGGAGCCTTTATTTTTTGGGTTTTATTTCTCTCCTAAAGGTCCAGTTTTTCAGACTTCATTTTAAATTAATTGCCAAGTGTCTCCTTGGGCAGTTTCTACCAGCCTTATGTAAATGAAAACTTGTGATTGCAGCCTCTGCAGTGATCAGGGAATATGGAGAGATTTGCTTCTCTAATAATGCAAGCAAAGAAAAAGACATCTGCTATCAGAGAAAAAAGTTATCTGATTCATTTATTGATGTCTATGAAAAGATCAAAACTGAATGGCTTTATTGCTTTAATTTTTGGGGGTGAACTTCTTACTAATCAGTTTGACTAAGATTTTTGTCTCAACACTTCTTGGGTACTGTCTTCCTCTAAAGTGGGGATTGAAAAGATGCATTTCTATTGGTTGGTGTGCTCCAAGCACACGCCTTTCCATTAGTCAGCAAGGAGACAAACTCTCTGCCTGCTCGCAAAAACAGTGACACTAATATATATATATATATATATATATATATATATATATATATATATATATATACACCTTATTTTTTTTTCTATCCATACTTATGGGGAGTCGTGGTCTAGTGGTTAGAGAGCAGGATGTTGCACCAAGATAGGTTGCAAAATTTACTGGTTTAAAATCCAGACAGTCAGTCTCTGTCCCAGAACTTTTTGACAATGCACGATAAAGTTAACAGATGTAACTACAACTGCAAGATTCCTCTGCCCTCGTGGAAATGCAAGATAGTTTTACATAGTGAAGCACAACACTAAACAACAACTTTTTGCATCAGGGCCAGTTAATCAGCTATAAAGGTCAATGCTTTCTACAGACAAAGGAAGAATTAAGGGACACAGTGAGGCTGGTTGTGAGTAAATTTGCGTCCAATGATTTTGTAGCTCCAACCTGGCTGGGTGAATATTGTACATAAATGAAACGATAAATCACAATTATAATAAAGGCTCTATATGAATATTTGAAGCCTAAGCTAGAACATTGCCTTGGTGGCTGCTGCAAAGCAAAGCCTCAATTGATGATCATCCTGTGCCACACCCTGGTCATATATATATATNCCATACAAGTTAATGGTAAATCTGACGTCATTTCGACTAGTCAGAATGTAATTAGAGATATCCCGAATAGGAATTTTGACTAGTCAAAATATATTTAGAGATATCTTAAATTACTAAAACGTCTAGTCATAAAACAATTTGAGATATCTTGAATGTAAAGGTGGAGCAGCCGAATTTATGTTAAAACGGCTTGCCATATCAGTGGTACCCGTGGTCATTGGGACCCTCAGTGCAGTGACCCCCAAACTTGAAGAGTGGTTACAGCAGAACCCTGGAAATACGTCAGACATCTCAGTCCAGAAAAGTGCAGTTCTAGGATCAGCAAAGATTCTGTGCAGGTCCCTCAGGCTCCCAGGCCTCTGGTAGAGGACCTGAGCTTGGAGGGAAAAAAGGGAGACCAAAAAGTATTTAAGTATATGTATATAGACCACGCCTATAAATCATGACCGGTTTGGTAGTGGGTCAGTGATGGTGTGGGGTGGCATTTCTGTTGGAGGGCCGCACAACCCTTCATTTGCTGACCATAAAGGATGCATGACTGACATTAGGTACCACGATGAGATCCTCAGACCCCTTGTGAGACCATATGCTGGTGCGGTTTGCCCTGGGTTCCTCCTAATGCAGGAAGGTGCTAGACGTCATGTGGCAGTAGTCTGTCAGCAGTTCCTGCAAGATGAAGGCATTGAAGCTATGGACTGGCCCGCCTGAATCCCAGACCTGAATCCGATTGAGCACATATGGGACATCATGTCTCAATCCATTCACCAAGCATCCGCCAATCAGGACTGGCGGATGCTTTAGTCCAGGACTGGGAGGAGATCCCTCAGGAGACCATTCAACACCTCATCAGGAGCTGCGCAGGCATTGTAGGGAGGTCATATGGGCACACGGCAGCCACACACAATACTGAGCCTCATTTTGACCTGTTTTAAGGACATTACATCACAACTGGATAGGCCTGTAGTGTGTTTTTGCACTTTATATCTGTGTGTGACTCCAAATCCAGACCTCCGTTGGTTAATAAATCTGATTTAATTGAAGATTTTTGAATGATGTGTTGTCTGCACATTTAACTTTTTACAGAGCAAAGAATTTAATGAGAATATTTCTTTCATTCAGATCTAGGATGTGTTATTTGAGTGTTCCTTTTATTTTTTGTAGCCGTTAAATCTGCAAAAAAAGAAACGTGAAGAGATCAGGACACTCAGGAAAAAAGTGTGTTGGAAAATCAAAACCAAAAAACAAAAACACATAGTTTTGGCTTTAGCTTTCACATTTTGAATTACTCTCATATCCTTTGTTTGAAAAGTTTTCAAAGTTTCGTTTTTGAAACTCGTACTTTGCTGTAAATATCTAATACAGATATTAAAAGCTTTCACGTGATAGTTTTATTTTATTTTATTTTTTTAAAGTGAAGAGGTTGCATTCATGTTCAATCTGTAATCTAGTTCAGCACCAACATGGCCTAAAGATGCCTTTAGCAGCCATCCTACAGTCATTTAAAGGGATAACATGAACATACATCAGAAGCTCACCTGCAGCTCAGCCACAGGTTGAGATTTCTAAATTCATTTATTCCAGTCGAATCACATTAGGTCCTCCTCCCAGGTTCGCTGCTGCAGTTAAACCCATACACAGATTGAAACAGATTTTTTTTTTGTTCTGCAGCCTGGAGACGGAGAGGTTTATTGAAGAAGCACAGAGAAAACTGCTCCAGGTCTAGAGGGCGTAAATAAAGACATTTAGCTGCTGTGAACGGGGCTGCTGGGTTCCAGGTCCTCATGAATTTAGAGTCCCACCTTCCTGCTGAGCTGCAGAGTGGATGAAATGATCCTAGGAGGACCTCAGATAGATCACAGCATAGCACAGATCATCACACAGGGTTGAATGGAATAAAAAAAAAAAAAAAAAAAAAAACATATAAAGAAAGGTGTTTTATCAGCTTCAATCAGAGCTCAATATTAGAAGAAAAGCTGCATGGCTGCAGGATTTCCATTTTATTTTAAGTAGAACCTCCAAGTCTAGCTATTTTTTCCGCCAATAACTATAGAGCATAATAACTCATTGGTTTTAATTAAACATTTAAATATAACTTAACCCTATTTCAGCGATAGATATGAAATAAGTGTGTGACATCTTGTTTTTTTTTTTTTACAAATTTTGCCATATTTTTTAAACAAAATCATTATTTAAATGAAATAAATGAATTTCTGTTTTTAAAGTGAATTATATTGAAGCAATAAAGGTGTCCTGGATTTAACAAACCAAAAATAATAATAAAAACATAAAAAATCTTTCAGTTAATAGCTATTTGTTTCTACCAGAATATCCCTCTAGTTGTTACTGATATGATTCAAGCAATTAATATATGTGAGGGGATTGCTGCAACCCCTAAAACAGCGTTAGGACCTGTCCTAACAAAGTACAAATACTTTTTTAACCTTAAGTATAAATTTTGCCTATCTATACTTTACTGGAGTGATTATTTTTTAGACAACTTTTTACCTCTAGTCCTTACATTTTAAAAATAGACTAATTTTTTTTGTTTGTTTCATTTAAGCTCATTGCTGCAACTCCTAAAACAGAGAAGGAACAATCACTCATGTGTGATATATTGGGGACCATTGACACTCTATTTGCATATGTAACGTGTTAAACAAGCACGTGAGGAGTAGTTTATGAGTACCTGTATGAAATAAAGCTGCTTGAAAGTGTATTTATTGTGTGTATGAACTTTTGGCAGAATCCTGACTATAAATTTGCATCATTTGTGTTTTTTGCAGCAAATTTCCCATTTTTCATAAGATTTGCACCTGTTGGTCAATCACTGTAGATCTCACTACTGTAGCACAGAGTTTTAGATTAAAAAAAAAATAACTTGGCAGATATTTCCCGTGTACATCCAGAGTTTGTGCCAGTCCTGGTCCCAGAGGATAAACAGACAGCAGCTCCATCACTGTAGTTTTCTCTAAGCAGCCGTTCAGTTTTTTGTTGGTGTGACTGATGTGAGAGGAGTGAGCTCGCTGTAGATGAGACGATATGAGCGCTCACCAGACTGTGAAATGTCCTCAGCCTGCGTTCAGGAGTCGGCCACCAGAGGCAAAAACACGGTAAGGTATTAGCGTGGCAGGTTTGTGTTTGACGTGCCGTGCTGAATTTAAATCTCCTCTTTTCTCTCCCTCAGTTTGTATCTCCTCTTTATCTTTGATTCCTGTCATGTTTCGTCTTTGATGTTGGCCCACAAAGACAAACTTGTTTCGTTTCTTCCTGCCGGGTTCTCCTCCGCCGCAGGAGAACAGACGGAATTCATGATGCCCACTTCTCCTGCTGTCCTTAAAAGTTCATTGACGCTATACTGCAGATTATTTGTAAAGAAAAGACTACATTTACCCCTTTAGATTAATTCCTTCATCAGAAAAGCCAAGTTATGTTTGATCACGTAAGACAGGGGAAGTTTATTTATATAGCACAATACAAAGTTCAAGTAGAAGGAAAATAAAAGCAGAATAAAAGAAAATAAAGATAAAAACATGACAAAAGCAGGTAGGAAATCAAATACAACAATTGGATCACAACTTTAAACTGATAATCCATAATTTTACAGTTTAACAGTTCTGGAGAGTTTGGCCCAGTAGTTAGAGCGTTGCGATTGGGTCCCAGAGGTCTTGAGTTCAAGTCCCGCCCACAGGCTGCCACTCTGAGTCCCTGAGCAAGAACCTTAATCCCAGACTGCTCCCTGGGCACCACACAATGGCAGCCCACTGCTCCCCAGGGGGATGGGTTAAATGCAGAGAGTGAATTTTCCTATTGTGGGACAATAAAGGGATTCACATTTACTTAACAAACAAAAGGGTTTTTAACTTTGACTGAAAAGAACTCAGGCTTTCAGCTCTTTACTGCCTTCTGGAAGTTTTTTTCCAGATAAGTGGAGCTTAGGAACGAAATGCTGCTTCCAGGGAGCGTTATCACAGCAGCTGTAAGACTTTATAACCACCACTGTTCCCAACAACCTCAATAAGTTGTTACATTCATGCTGATTGCTGTCATTTTTCACATCTCTGATGTTGCTGCTATTTTCAAGTATCCATTGCTGTAAAAATGTTCATAGCTGCATATTGGTTATATATTCTCCAGATGCACAGTTTTTATATTATAAAAACACTTTACAGTACAGTAATTGTAGTTATTGTTTGTTTTAACTCTTCACTAGTATGTTATTCTTATACATTTTTCTAAGGTCCACATTTGTGCAACAATTTTTTTCTATAATCTTTTGCTGCTGTAAACACCAGAATTTCCCCAATGTGGGACAATAAAGGGATTTTTTATTCTATTCTATTCTATTCTATTCTATTCTATTCTATTCTATTCTATTCTATTCTATTCTATTCTCCATGTTTGATTTCTAGTTCTGACCTTTTTTTCCTGTTGCAGTGATTCTACACAGTATTTCTCTTGCTTGTTCCTCTTTGGTCGTGTTCATTCACTCTGAGCTCAGGTTTGATATTGGGAGGTTTTGTGAGATTTCCCTTGTTTGAATTTTCCAGACAGAAACATGTTGCTGTGTGGAGTGCTGTGCTCGCCGTGTGTTTGTACATCACACACTGAATGACCAAACTTGTTATATCTGTATGTTTTTATCATTCTGTGGGGCCTCTTCGGATTTTAAAACCTTGCCATGTGGATCCGTCCTAACAGGTTTGTAGACTGCATTCAGAACAGACGCACTAGTTTGGCCGTTAGGGTCACTAATTGGACAATCAGGACTCGTGATTTGTTCTATTTCACCCAATGTTTGCATTGTTCCTAGATCCAGACCAGGTTGATTATTGTACATCATGGTTACCGTTCAATTAAATAAGCCTTTCAACAGTTATATTAGACAGTGCATTGCATTAAAAACTGCTCAAAATGTGTCTTTAATATATCTCTTTATAGTCATCTTTTTTTTTGTTATGTCATTGTTATTCTTTAGAGGCAGATAAGGTGAAACATCAAAGCAGGAAACAAAGAGAGCAGCAATGAACAGGGAAGAATTTTCAGCTTGTTTTGTCTCTGTTAATAATTCAAACATGAAAACATGGAGACATGTGGCCATCTCTGTTTGCCTTCATGAATCTCCAAGATCTCATTATCTGCTACTCATTAGTTCTGACAAACACTTGGGAAAAAAAAAACTTCTCATCTCGTGCAAAAGCTGAGTATTTCACGCTGGATTGCCCATGCATAATAATATCTGTGTAAAGCAGTTTGAATTAAAGGATAAAAAGGGGAGCGGATGAAATTGATTCCTTTGTTTTGAGTTGCAGCATTAATGAATGGAGCAGACTGGAGCTGACAGGCAAGCTGAAACTGATCAGAGAGATTTGACAGTTTTTATTGACTGTTTGTGGTTCAGAGTGAGTTTTAAAATGATTCTGACATCCACCTTGTTCCAGATGGAAGGATTTCCTTCATCATTCTCTTCCAGGAGAGGTGAAGGGATGACCTGTGCCACCTAAAGCTGCTCAACCTTTAGAATAATAGCTTAAAATAATTATTAAGACACCAAACATCTGCAATGGGGTTCATGACTTCTTCTGATTTGTTGCGGTTCTTACATTTGACTGCATATATTCTCTCCTTACATGGGTCAAATTATTTAGGCGTTTTTAAAGCCTGTTTGGTTTATTTCATATCAAGAAAGCTGAGTGATCAAATTCAAACTGCTCTTCCTTTGAGATGCAATTCATGACCCATCAAACCAGACTTGTGTCTGTTCTAGTCTAATTTATGGAGCTTAAAAGCACACAAAATGGGGGCTTGAAATTTGTCTATGCAGACATTTTATAAAAAAAAATGTAACTCTGAACAAGCCGGATCGGACGAGTACGCATATTTAGGAGGGAGGGGGAAACTGGCAACACAGGTGACTCAGACATAAAATTCACTACATATTGTTGCAGGCGCAACCTACGAGCATAACGCACTACATATGGAACTTTAATCATAGATATATGCAAATGATGTATACTTACAGTAGAAGGTTTGAGTGGGAAAAGGCTTCTTGCAGTCAGGTAATCAAAAGATTAAAAATAATCCATAAATAATTAGGGAACAGCTAATAGGTATGTTGCTTTCCGGGATTATTGGAGGTTTTGTTTGCTTTATTAATGAATTAATTAAAGCAGTTAACCACTCTGCGGTTTCTGTCAACTCTTACCATCGCAAAATAATCTATAAAGTTGAAATATCACCGTCAGCGGTCGACTCAATGCTGCCTGGATGTCCTTGTTAATGTAATCAGTCCATTCGATTCTGAAAGGGTCATTAAAATACTTTTCTTTATTTAACATGGCTACCAGATATATTAATCTGTCTTTCCACCTCAAATCCAAACACCTCAATTAAACTGTGTGTTTTTCTTCTTTCTTGATTGCGATCGGAAACCATTAAATAGCTTTGATCATCTGACTCATTTAAAAACACAGTGACGTTCATGGGTTGCACTGAATGGACCATTTATGGTTGAATGTGGGGGTGAAGTGGGCGGGGCATGAGGTGGAGCCTTGGATAAAACCTTTGAAGCACACATATGATCTATTGAGGAAAATTTCTTGGTTCTTCATACTTTCACTTTTAGTATGGATTACGCACATTTTTTTTCTACTTGAAAACCTTGTTTTGTTCTGCTTGCAGGTAAACTTTGGTCCAGAAGTGTGAAGGTGGCCTACAACCTGCTGCACAAACTGGGAACCAAACAAGAACCACTAGTCAGACCTGGAGACCGGGTGAGTTTAGAGAAATGAGGCGAGAAGAAGTGTTTGTGGTCATAACCTGCTTTACTTTCTGTCAACTTTTATAACCTGGCTCTCATCTGTATAAAGGACATTACTCCAGAGGTCCTTTGCTTTGTTTAAATGTCTGAGTTATCTCAACATGCGAGTTTCTGAAGCATTTATCATGCTAATTTACCTGGGGGCAAGGATGAGGCAATTGTTTTTTATTGATGTTACCAAGTGGAAGAATGAAACAAATAAAAACAAGGAAATGGTTCATTGTTTGAATAATCACATAAACCAAAAAGCTATCTGCAGCTCTGGAAAGCTCAGGTTTAACACATGAAAACTGTGATCAGATCTCAACGCGACTTAAGCTAAAAGTGCAACAACTTAATTTTACCATCATTGTTAAAATAAAACTGCTGAAAAAATATATATAGTATATATAAAACGGGTCCAAGCAACCTATCATTGGTTGTGCCAGCATACATAATTCATATATCCTACGTTTATTTAGCATTAAGTCTTTACTACAGGGGCCAGGATCAGTTTATACAGGGGCCCTGGTACCTGTCTGGAATCAATCTTATTGAGGCTTATGGAGTCTTAGAAAAGTAATTTTCATATGTAAATATCATATTTTGCCTAAAAGGTATTGATTCAGAAAGAAGAAAACTTTCAGCACAATTCTAAGAAACATTTAAACACAAAACCAAGTTAAGATTACAAGTCTGACCATCAAAATCAAACTTTGCTGCTCATAGATTTTCAGCAGTAGCGACTGAAGAAAAAGGATCCAACTAGTTAAAAATAAGCTTATAAAGCATCTGGAAACCTCTGGCCTGAGAATCAACAGCTGTGAAATTAACTCTGAGCTTTCATTATGCTGGGCGTACGTTCTATATCTAACTTTAAAAAGGTCCCTTAACGCTTGAAATATTTCCAAACCAGTTCTTGAGGATGATTCAGCAACATTATGGTCCCGTCACATTACGTGCATCTGGATTTTATTTCACTGATGTCAGATGGTAAGCTGTCAGCATCACCTTCCTACACATTCAACACTAGAGCACACAATCAGATAAGCCACGCCCCAAACGCACTGCTGCACTTTTTACATAACTGCTGACAAACTATCGCTGCACTGACCCAATAATATCTCTGCTCAGTGTGATACTACCTTATTTAAGCCCTCTGTCTATTGTGAATAATTCACTCACCTTAAGGTACCTGGAACTAAAAGTGAATCTGACAGGTGACCTACATCCTACCTAAGGCTGTGCTCACACCACAGGCAGTATGTGACCCATATCTGACTTTTTCCCAGCAGTCTTAATGGCCGATTCGGATTCTTTTCCTCTTAAAAAAAAAAGAAATAACCCCTAGAGAATTAAAACACTTGCACATCCGCTACTAAAATAGATATGCATCTTATAATTTGGTGTGAATGATCCTATTTTATCCGACATTTAGCTCATCCTTTAGGCCCCCTCTGCGGGGCCTACCCTACAGCAGCAGCAGACACTGCTCCACTGAAGGTCTGTTTTGAAAGTCTTGAACTGTTTTTTTTCCCCCGTCTTCTTATGATACTTCATAAACCCAAATAGAATTTTTAAAGCTTTATTAAACATCCTAAGCATCTTTCCCATCAATCTTTCTCATTCTGATTATCCTGAACCGTTCAGACAGAGGTCTGATAGGGACACATTTAATAAGTATGAGCAAATAGTATTTCTGCAAAACAAATTCATGCAAAATAATTATCTGCACTCATGGGGGCATGCATTGGGTCATGGCCACACAAAACACGCTTCAATCAGATGCAACCGGACTTTGGATCAGTGTTTTTGAAAACAGACATCCGGTGTGAGCCAAGAGAATTAACAAAGACTCCTGGATGGGTTTTGAAACATCCGAAGGTCCAGTTGCCTCCAATTTAAGCCAATTGTTTCCACTCCAGTAGGATTGTTTAAGGATTGTTTTTTTCTTCTGGAAACAACATATAAAACATTTGGACTCAACATACATCCATATAATAGAGTATTATTATTATTTTTTTTTTCACTATAGATAGGTTAATTGATTTATTATGTATACATTTGCACAAAGAATTAAACATTTCAAGCCTTTTTTCTTGTATTTTGATGATTATGACTTAGTAAAAACTAATTTCAGTGTTTCAGAAAGTTAGAATATTCACAGGATTGGAAAAAGTCCCTTTATCTTAACCCAAGTGATCCTAAATTTTACCTAATAAAGACTAAACTTCATAGGATTAGTATAGAAAATGTAATTCCCAGTCTGTTGACCCTTCAGCTTAAAGAAAATAAAAAGACATGAAATAAAAATCGCCAGCTTTCAGTTAAAAAACTATAAATTCCACAACCTGTATCCCGGTCCATGCCCAGTATTCAGACCAGAAGAGCAATGATGGGTCAGTAATGTGCCAGGAGTTAATTTACCACAAAACTCTGACCTCTTAACACGCCTACATATATGACCAGCTAGATGATAATTTGACAGCATCTTAAAGTTTAAACCTTTTATTGTCTAAGCTATCATTTTTGTAAACACCAGTTTGCAGAAAACAAGGCAAAATGATGAGGTTAAATGTTGTCCGCAGGGCCTCCCTGTGTATGAAGCTGAGTGTAACTACTTCATAGAATACCACCATTAAACTAATGCTTCCTGCTCTGAATTAAATTAAAAACTTAATGAGCTGAGTAAGCAAGTTAAAAAGCTTATTTTAAACTAGTTAAAAAACTAATGTTCTAAGGGTTATTTTGCAACAGAAAAATGTTATTATAGAAGCACTATATGAATTATTTATTTATTTATTTTTACCATATTAGGGAAAGTGACTTTTTTTTGGTAAATACTACTTATTATAAATGTATAAGGTCTTGTTCTGTCCTCCAATAACAATCCTGACTTAAGATTTTGAATTTCTAAGCATTCCGCAGAGAGCCATTGAAGGTTTAAGACATGAGGCACTTTTTAATTGAGGCAAAAGATTAAATAACAATAAAGTAAAGTAGTAGTAATAGTAAAGCCACCTAATAAATAGAATAATGTGATCAGGAGCTCAATCTAACCTGACAAAAAGACTTATATGTTTATAACTTATTGATTTCTGAACTAGACAAACATGTAGCCCTGAAATTCCCTTTGTCATCAACTAAAAGATCATTGCAGACTTTCTAACCATTTGTAATACTAAGTCAGTTTGAAATTGCATGAAGAAGAAGAAGTATAGAACTGGATCCTGAAGCAAACTGGGAGGTATTACAGTTTCTGTTTCTATCATCAAATAAAGAATTTATCACGGTAACCTTAATGGTGATGAAGCTTTTAGGAGTTTTCTGTGATTTTTAACTGAGCTTTGTTGGTGTAAAGTGTGTGCAGGTTTGTGGGGATGGGATGTCTACTCCTGGGAGGATTAGCTGTATTTATTTTTTTAATATATAACAATAGCTTTATAACAGTTTCCAGACTGATTGGCCAAAGAATCTGCTTCTCTAAGATCATTGGTGTCTTTTCAATTCAGTTTATTTATATAGCGCCAATTCACCACACAGGTCAACTCAAGGCACTTTACAGTTCACCAGATCATACAGTCAAGTTTTCTATCTAAGGAAAACCAGTTGATTGCTTCGACTCATTGATTCGAAGGCAATCCCTCACACTAAGCATGCTTGTTGCGACAGTGGAGAGAAAAAAATCCCTTTTAACAGGAAGAAACCTCCAGCAGAACCAGGCTCTGTGTGAGCGGCCATCTGCCGAAGCCGACTGGGGTCCAAGGAGACAAAATCAGAGATACAGAAAGAAGCAGAGATACAAAAGGCACCAGTCAACCAGCTCCACAGGAGGCCCCATCCAGGAAACACACAGCCAGGCAGACAAGCTCCAAACCAGCTCCAATTTCAGGGGATGAAGAGAGCACATCTAGTTAGTCACAGTCAGAGAAACAGGACTACACTGAAAAACAGGCCGTGCTCCAACATCTATAAGCAAAGGCGTTTATGGAAAGTTAGAGATTGATCCAAGAAATACTTTAGAAAGGGAAAATAGAGACAGAATGAAGCAGAATGATGAAAATGATTTCCATCAAGGCTGTTGTTCCGATGCAGCAGTCTGCTGTAAAACAGCAATCAGGCCTGATTTGGTTTCCCTGCAGGGATCAGATGTTATAATTACCTGCCTGATCAATGTGTTTGATTAGCAGCCAATAACTGGTCGTCTGAAAGTTTTCTTTTTTTCCCTCTTCTTTAGAGACAGTTGTCATCTTTAAATAATTAAAATGCAGCTTCAGGAGAACACTTTTAAAAAATGTTTTCAAGTTATCTCTTTAGCACATCCTGGAAACAGCTCGCCTCACCTCTCCCCTGTTGCGTTATTGTTTTCTTCAGATTGTGAGAACTTGCAGTGCATCTTGGTTGAATTTCTTGGCCTTTCTGTTTTGTGCTGTTATAAAACAAACGCACCAAATAGACGATTCTCAGCCCCCAGCCCCCCTTTTCTCTGTCATTATTGCCTCTTTCCACTGTGGACCTGTAAATTTGTTGCTCAGAACATGAAAAGATCTTCAAACTGAAGTGGAAAAGGCTTCAGCAGCAGCGCCGCATGTCTCTGATGTCACGCGCCGCCCCTAGTGTCTCTGTGGTATCCGTTTCATCTTTATTTTAGGTTTGATCTCCAGTTCAGCTGGAAAACGAGTCAAGGCTGACACAATGCTGGGTAATACAGCATCTTAGCCACAGGACTGTGTGTTTTGATTATAACTCCTCAGATTTCTCCACTCTTGCTGAGTGAGAATTACAGAACAGTCTTTCTAACCTTGGCTATGTTGGACTGGGGGAAAAAAATTCTAATTTACAAAGATGTTTACATGAAGGAGATTTAAATGCTAAGAAGCAGACATTGTTTATGTTGGGAAACATAAAATTTCATGTGTGGTGTTTATTGCAGTTTAACTAATTCACTTATTCTCCATTTGTAATTTAGTTCTTTTCTCTGCAAATGTGTTTTGCTGAAAAATATAATTATCTCTCTCGAGTGTTTAGACAAGATGTCACCATCTGATATCGCTTATGCTCCTTATATGCAATAATCCACTCCAGTAAGATTGTTTAAGGATTGTTTTTTTCTTCTGGAAACAACATATAAAACATTTGGACTCAACATACATCCAGATCCATATAATAGAATATTATTATTTTTTTGTTTTGTTTTCACTACATTTAGGTTAATTGATTCATTATGTATAAATTTGCACAAAGAATTAAACATTTCAAGCCTTTTTTCTTGTATTCTTGATGATAATGACTTAATAAAAACTAATTTAAGTGTGTCATAAAGTTAGAATATTCACAGGATTGGAAAAAGTCACCTTATCTTAACCCAAGTGATCCTAAATTTTACCTATTAAAGACTAAACTTCATAGGGAAAGTTCCACAAACAAACTGCAACTAAAACCCACCCAGAGTCTGGTTCTCAAAATGTCCGTCTGTCACTTTGCCTTTGAAACTATTTTTTTTGTGTGTTAGTTCCTCCATATATTTCATTGTGATCATGTAGAGAACCAAGAATGAGGGTGACACTCTCTAAATATTAAAGGACCAGAAATAAAACCCTGAAACTCTGGGAAAGGTTAAAAAAAAAAAACATACTGTATATTATCTATATAGTTTATTATTATTATTATTATTAGTATTAGTATTATATTACTAACCTATAGCCGCTACAGACATATTTTGACTTGCAGCTCCAACTCATAGTCCAGATGAACAGTTATGTATCTGAATCTCAGTGAATAAATCTTAAGAGAATAATTTAAAGCCTTTAGAGCACAGAGTTGGCAGATAAAATGATCACATATTCTTACAAAGCGAGCTTCAGTATTTGAAAGGATAAAAGATGAAATTAATAATGCATCTATTGTCCTTTCCTTCACATTTTTACTTTTCAAAAGCTTTTAATACCATTACTCTGGTTGGAGTGATGGTGTAAAACAGATTCAGAGGTAAACCCATCTGTGGGCCTGCTCCTCTGCAGAGCTGATTCTCTTTGTCCAATAAATGATAAACAAAGCAGCCATTCAGAATCTCGTGAAGAAAAATCTTTACACTCATGCAGCAGTTGTCTTCTGATGCTTCCTGTCTTTGCAGCGAACTGCAGATGAAGCCTGATGAGCTCCAGTGAGACCTGCAAATATCAATATTACATCTGTTAAAGCCTCATTACAAGGCTCCCGTTCATTCCGCTGCACTTAGCCTATAGCACACACTGGATAGATCTACTTTAGTAATGTGTATAAAAGCTATTAAACAGCACTTTAACAGGGTTTCCTGGTAATGTCACAATGGGCAACTGGAGCTGAACTGGATCCAATAAAGGCAGAGATTACATCCCCACTGGGGTCTAGAAGCATGTTAACTGTAGATATGTTCATGTCCTGTGTGCTTGATAGCTCATGGAGACAATTATAAGGTCCACATGTGTCTCTATATGAGAGGCAATGGGGGATAACAATCTGTTTCAAATCAATGAAATCCTTTAGAACAAGAAAGCATGTAAAAAGCTCACAGATCAGGAAGGAGTGGCTTATTCCAACAAACAAAGTAGGATACAATGATGTAAAAGTTTCTGGATTTGATCGCGTTCAAAACAGCACGGTTTAAGTCTGAGGGGGGGAAAAAAAATCTGCTGTCAAAGAACATTTCGGAAATGTTCACAGAAATAGAAGGATGATTATGATTAAAGGGGGGATATAAATAAAAACATGAAACAATGAAAAGGATTTGCATGCATGTCAAGCCATGAAGGGACTTTGTTCAGCAATTAGCAACATAAACCAAATATATGTTAAAAAAAAAGGATGGAAAGAAATATTTCGAAATTTTCAAATGATTGTTTATTTCAATTGCTGATGAAATATACAATATATAGTGCTATATGCATGTTATTTCAGATGCATACAGTTCATAGTTTAATTATATGAAGGTGTGGGAGAAGTTTGAACTTTTCCAAAAGCAATTTAATGTCAAGATGCTTTGGCTATGATATATTTGTTTTCCTGGTTTAAATAAAGGTGTATTATTTCTTTTTACTTAATAATAATAAATGCTACTCCTTTTCTAGTGGTCCAAAAAAATTAAGTTAAAAACAATCCACTGGACTTTGTTTCCAGGTTTAAAGACGTTTCGCTTTCTGTCCAGGAAGCTTTTTCAATTCAAAATGTCAGGAATAGCGTTGAGTTTGAGGCTTTATACTGTATAAATGATCGAACTGAACACTATTCCTGACGCTATTTATTTATTTAACTTTTTTAGGTTTTTTGGAGTAACTATGACCAGCATATTTTTCTAGTGGTCGTGTTACAATAAAACCACCTAACAAAAGCACCTAAAAGCAACTAAGCCTTAAATCTAACACTTAATCAGTTTTTGTGTTTATCTAGTCTCTCTGCTATAACTTAGTTTGTATGTCCATAGGTGGCGCTGGTCTTCCCCAACAATGACCCTGGTGCCTTCATGACGGCTTTTTACGGCTGCCTGCTGGCTGAGGTCGTCCCCGTGCCGATAGAGGTACCGCTGACCAGGAAGGTAATGATTATTTATTATTCTATCTGTTAAAATGAACCAAAAATTTCAGAAAAAAAACTGAACAGATTTTTTGTAGAAAAAAAGAAGAGAAAATATTAATATTATTATTTTTTTTAAACAAAGCTGAACCTTACTTCATTCAGGGTTTTATTTCCGAAAGATTTCAAGTCGTTTTTCCTAGTAGGAAACATAAGCCCCCCGAATTTGCAGAAACAAAGTGAAAAAGGTAGAAAGCAAAAAGAAAAGAGACATTTTATTTTCTGGAGATGATAGTTCAATAATTTCAGATAGGAGCTTTTAGCCAATAAATAGATTCACATTTCTAAAAACAGCCCACCTTATGGGGAATTAATTCCTTAAAATATTAAAAAAATAAGCAGTGTAAAGTAAATGAACCGTTTTAGACTGCCGTTATTGTAGTAAGTGGCAATAAGGAAGTATTTCCATGCTCCCATTGCTCCAGTGCAGCTGATCTTCAGCAGGAAGCTCATCTTCATCAGTCTGGTTTCTCAGCCTCTGCTGTCTTTGTGTTTGCAGGACGCCGGCAGTCAGCAGATCGGCTTCCTGCTGGGGAGCTGCGGCGTCACCGTGGCTCTGACCAGCGACGCCTGCCATAAAGGCCTACCCAAAAGTCCCACCGGAGAGATCCCACAGTTCAAAGGTCAGGCTCCCGAAACCTTTCACTGGGACTTTTCTGTCCATGCAAACATGAAGTCATATCTGTCAGCGTTACATCTGAACTAGTGTTGAAAATACAGCAGAACTACATACTGAATAAACTCTTGATCAACAATGTAAGACGACTGAAAAGTGTGGAGTGAGGTGAACGAAAAGCTGAGTCAGCATTTTATTGAAGAACCATTAAACTACAACAGGCTGAGCTTCTTCTGTTCTAACTTTAGATGTTTTTGCCTTTCAGAAGCAAAAAAATTAATATCATGAACTAAGTTATTTTTGATTATATTTACTAGAATATATATATACGAACACAACAAAGAAACAGATTATAATAAGATGATAAACCCGATTGATAATTGGTAATCTTATTACGCATTATGTCACATTTTAATTTTGATGGGGTCATTTTATACTAGTTTCTGTAGTGATATCATTGATTTCCTCCTTTTTTTCAAACATCTCCTGAGAGTTAATTTGTGTTTTTTGAATGTTTAACTGATCTCCCACCTCTGCAGACCTCCGCAAGCGTGAAACTCTCATTAATGTTCTTAAGACAATAAAAGGATTTTTTTTCCTTTTATTTCAAGAGTCTTCAGATCTCACTTGGAAAACATGTCTGGCAGCCAAACAGCTCCTCCTTCTGCTTCTTCAGTCGTGTTTATGCTACACTGAGCATCAAAGCTAAAAAATAACCCAACTGATTAAATGATGTTTTATTTATTGATCTTTTCCTGTTGTTTTACAGCTTTTATTGGTGCTTAAATGTTTTTTTAATTATCAGTTCAGACTGCCACATAATTAAGAACACAATCAAAATAAGAGTCTCTAGTCTGTTTAGTCGTCTTTATTTTTTAATTTAATAGAAAAGGACAATATGGTAGCAGTTGAATAAAAACAATTCTCCTTTCTAGAAATCTCATTTTCTTCTCTTTCTAATGATTTCTTATTCTGGCATCCGCCCAGTTTCATTAAGCAGACTCTAGCTTGACTGCTTCATTATGCCTCATTTTGCGTCAAGTTATTTTAAGGTTCTTGAACTGTGAACATTGATTCATTTATTTACAGTTAATAAGAGTTTGAATTTACAGACCAGAACCGGCCCTTGTTAATGTTTAAACTGCCCAGCAGTGGAAAGACATCAACAGGGATCATAGAGGAGCCATTTAACGCATCTGAGTAAACAGTAGCGCTAATGCATCTTCTGTTTTATTATGGTGCAACATTTAGCTTCCAAGCTAATTAGAAATCGTTTATTCCTTCTCTCTCTGTTTTTCACTAATGGAGCTTTCCAACATTTAAAATTCATTATATGACATCCTAGAAAACATACCATTGGAGCCTTATAAGTTGATTTATTGCTAAAGTTAAGAAATGCATAGAAATATAAAAAAGAACAAAATATCTAGTTTTAAATATATTTTATCAATATTAATTATAACAATTATTAATAATAGACTTAATCCCTATTAAAGTTACTTTACTAGAAAAAAAATAGTGAACAGCTTCACAATCTGTCTGGTCTAAGTAGTTTTAATTAAAAAAGATTATTTGTTATAAATGGAATAAATGCCTCTGATAAAATTAGCTTTGAGGAAATTAGCCTGACAGAGAGAAAAAAGCTGGGTTTAGACAGCAGGCAGCCAGGCTGAAGGATGGAGGACAATGATGTGGAGAAACTCAGAGGGATGCAGATCGATAGAAAAACCCACCATCAGTCCAGAGAGCAGCAGGGAGAGAAATCTCTCCCTGATAAATAAGCACGCTTTGCTTTGCAGTAATGGGTTTATAAATAGAAACATGATGCCAGCAGATTTAAGATTGTCAGCGTGGCGCTCATTAAAGCAAAGTGCTTCTCCTATCGATCAGCTTTAAGCTCCTCTCAGTCACTCATCTGATGCTTTCTTCTGTCTCCCATCCATCGGCAGTAATTCAGACATTAGTGGGAATCAGGAGTTTTTTGTTCAGTGTTTTACACCCTGTAACCTCTCAGCGCTGAGTGAGCAGCACGCCTTCCTACCAGGACCAGTCATCAGCATGATTCCTCCTTTCAGCAGGAGAATCAGTTTAAGAATGAGCAGTTTAAATGAAGTAAAGCTTGTGTTTCCTGTCCTGGTCTCTTTGTGTCCAGGTTGGCCCAAGGTTCTGTGGTTTGTCCCAGAGTCCAAACACCTCTCCAAGCCGCCCAGAGACTGGTTCCCCCAGATAAAGGATGCCAACCAGGACACCGCCTACATCGAGGTAACAGCAGATATTTCCACCTGTTTAATCACAGCAGATATGCATCTTCTTTGATCAGAGAGATGCAACCTTTCAGCAGGTCAACGCCATCATCCCGACTGGTCGGTTTGATTTCTAGGAGACGTCCTTTTCAGTAATTGCTTCTCTAGTGAGAAGAAATCTCTCCTTGATTGCATTTCAGATTGAAAGAGGCCGAAACAGAACCTGATTAAAGGAGAGGAATGATTGAAAAATGACCTGTTTCTGTCTGGGGCTTTACTTTACTTTTTTTCTGTGGCCTAAAAAATTTTTTTCAAAAGAATATCATCCCATGCTGATTCCTCGCCTTTTTAGCATCCTGTAATGGTGCTTTGTTTGACTTTTACAGAGAGTTGATCATATTTTGACTGAAATGTAAAAGATTATTGTGACTCAGCAGTTGTCAGAGATAGTTTCAGTTTTTATTGCTTAAATCTGCCAGTTCTGTTATCAGTGAGGCTCTCTTCCCACTGATGAAGTTGACTGACAGCTAATATTTACTGTCAGTCATTCTGGCAGAAACTAATTTACCACAGATCAGCTCAGGGGTTTGTGAGGACTGCTGTCAATATTTTTATTAAACACCTGCATTCAAAAACTAACAGATGAAAACAAAATGCCTGATAATGGATTTAAGAATTATTTACAGTGATATAAAAATGTTAGAAACACCAAACCTTCACTCATTTTTAGTAGTTATTTACAGAGAAGGTTCCTAACTAGTTACATTTACTTTTGACAAAAATGTTCTTTGAGGTGTAATCTTCTGTTCATGTGACTAATTGCTTCCAATACTTGAGTAATATCCTGGTATATATATTTATTTATATATTTCACACTAAGGTCAACCCTTAGTTTACATGTAAGAATGTGGATTTGGAAAAGTACTTCTTTCAGCAGAAAAATATTATTTTGTAAACATTTTTAGGGCTGAAATAATTAATTGATTATTGAAATAATCGTCAACTAGTCTTCTTTAATGAACGTTTTACTATCCAATTATAAATCAACAAAATAATCGACTGATTAATCGATTAGCAAAATAGTGGTTAGTTTCAGCCCTAATCATGTCATTTATCTATATGTCTTTATAATACCAGATAATGTCTGACTTCATTATTTCTAAATATAAAATCATATGTGATGATCCAGCAAACACTCAGAATTTGAGTAGCCTTTTTACCAAATACGTCTTTACTTGACTAATTTCTTGGACAATAATGTTTACCTTTTACTTAAGTAAAAAGTTAATGTAGTAGTGCTATTACTGTACTACAATTTGGGGTATTCTGCTCACCTCTGATTATTTATAATTTGGCCCTTTTCTTTTACCTGGGAAAACAGTAAAAAATTACAATTGGACATTTTTTGTAAAATAAATGTATAGAACATAAAAAAGGACACAGGACAAATGTAGAGATGAAGGACTAATTTCCTGAAACACAGAAGAAGAAAAGTGGGGATCTGGTTAAAACTTAAGTGATAAAACAGGTTTCCTAAGTACCTGCAGATGGATGGTAGAAATTGTACCACAGGTGTAAAATGTTTCCCCTGCAGATCAGTTAAAGATAATAAGGCTGTTATGCAAATCTTCCAGGTTACAGAATAGCAGGTATCTTCACTAAAATTTCTCCTGACAGATTATTTTCCATACAATAGGTTCAAATAGAGAACCGTATCAGTGTCTCTTCTCCTCCTGCTTATGTGGGACTCATTCTGCTACATGTGTCCTCTCGTTTTTTTCTTTAAATGGCTCTCCTAAAACGATTCTGTAGTTAATTATGTGTCAACAGAAAAGAAACATGTTTATTCACTTATAGAGACTAGTTTTTAATGTCACATTTAATCAAGTAAAGAGACAAGAAATCCTCAGGTTACTTGCCTTAAAATTTCAAGTCACTTTCTAAAACTTAAGTGTCTTTTTTTCTTTTTTATTCCCAAAACCTAAGCTACTTATCAATTGGCACTTCTCCCCATTTTATAGGATATACAGAATGATTTTACCACTTTTTAGAACTTACATGTTGATGTTAAAGAACTAAGAGGTCACGTTTGAGGAACTGGAAGGCTCATCTACTGATTTCTAAAACCTACAAGTTATCTCCAAAACTCCTTAATATTTAAAATATAATAAAAAAAAAAACTTAAGGTTACTATTTAGACCTTAATAAACTTAAACTAAAAAAATACCCAAAAGATTAATTTCTAAATGTTTTATTTTTGTGATTGGGGTCATGGCAAAACAAACGGGCTTAAACTGGAAGCCAACCGGACTTTTACTCGTATTTTAAAGATTGATTTCTAATATAGAAATTTTATTTCTAAAACTTGCAGGTTACTTTCTATAACTTACAAGTTACTTTCAAAAAGCAACATGTTAGTTTTTAAGATTCAGTAAATTTTACTTTAATTTTAATTTACTAAAACCTTCAGGTAGCTTCCTCTTAGTTTGCTTTCCAATTCTCAAAGTTTCCATGCTACTTTCTAAAGTCACATTTTGAATATGTCTATGAATGTTGTCTTTATATAAAAACCTGCATCAATTCTTTTTTAAATGTATGATTTGAGTTGAATATGACTGATTGTTTTTCTTCACGCCTCCTTCCTCCAGTATAAGACCTGTAAGGACGGCGGTGTCCTCGGCGTCACCGTGACGAGGATAGCCATGCTCACACACTGCCAGGCCCTCACTCAGTCCTGCTCATACACAGAAGGTAACATGAAACACTTGCCTTAGTTCAGGCAGTAAAATGATTGTTTATTCTCAGAAAAGTAACACTTATTAACTCTGATATCTCCCTGAAGTGTCTGTTTTTGTTTTTCTTTCTATTGAAGACTTTAAACAAATCTATATGCCTGATCTGGTTGAATGGTCTTTGTAAATTGCCTTGAGAGGACATGTGTTATGAATTAGCATTATATAAATAAACTTAATTGAATTTAATCAATCATGAATCTTCAGTTGACGTTTTTTTTCTTCTGTTTGCAGCTGAAACCATAGTGAATGTATTAGACTTCAAGAAGGATGTAGGACTGTGGCACGCTATCCTGACTGTAAGAAAACTCATCTGTCCTTCTCTACTGCCTTAAATATACATATAAATATACATCATGATGAAGATTTGTTGGGTTTGTTTATTCCAGATTTAACACATTCTATTTTCAGACATATAGTCTCCGGCTACTTTATTAGGTACACCTTGCTAGTACCAAGTTGGAACCTATTTTGCCATCAGAACTCTCCTCAATCCTTCGTGACATTCAACAAGGTGCTGAAAAACACCTCAGAGAGTCTGGGCCATATTGACATGCTAGCATTACGATTGACAGCGTCATCCAAAAGTGCATGTGGGATGCCAGTTTTGCCAGTTGGGAACCGGCTTATGCCAGTCGGGAACAGTCTTATGCAAGTCGGGAACAGTCTTATGCAAGTCGGGAACAGTCTTATACAAGTCGGGAACCGGCTTATGCCAGTCAGGAACCGGCATATACCAGTCGGGAACCAACTGGGTTATGCCAATCGGGAACCGGCTTATGCCAGTCAGGAACCGGCATATACCAGTCGGGAACCAACTGGGTTATGCCAATCGGGAACCGGCTTATGCCAGTCAGGAACAGGCTTATGCCAGTGGGGAACCGTCTT